ATAAAATTATTTAGTGAATATATGGTAGTGGTATAAACAAATTTAAATAACTTAAATTTTAGTGGAAAAAATTATGGGATTTAAAGATTAGGGTTTATTGAGTTAGTTTGGTTATTTAATTTAATTTGTGTGTTGAGTTTAAAAGTGAGAGAATATAGACTTAAGAAAGTATATGAATGGATGTAAAAAAATTTATAATAATATATGATCTAGTAATGAATGCATAAATTACAATATAAAGAAATAAAGTTATAAAAAGTGGAGGTAAGATAACCAAAATAATTAATGAAAAAACGATAAATATAAAAATAAAAAATTAACTAAAAATACAGAAAATGTATTTTTAAATATTATACCTAAACGTAAAACAAATCAAAATAATAAAAATAAATTTAATAAAAGCTATGTTGTAAATGACATGACGCGTTGGCGCAATGGTAGCGCGTCCGCCTCCAGAGCGGAAGGCTGGGAGTTCGAGTCTCTCACGCGTCATATTTTTTATATTTTCTATTGATCAATTTATGAAATATGATTTATAATATGTTAAATTAAATGAAATGTATCCAATCTGTTATATAATTAGATAGTTATAATATAAAAATATTTAGTTTTACCAAGCTATGTCACGCCTGCAATTTATATAATAACAGTCTCTTATATCTATTTATACGCTTGATTAAAAAAAATAATAAAATAGCTAATTATTATAAATAAATATTAATTTTATTTTTAGCTGTTAATTAAAATTTTTCCTCTAATTATAAGCTAGGTTTTTCATTATTGAAGTACCCTTCATCCTCATTGATTTCAAATTCTTCGTTATTAATAATTTCAAGAATTAAAGGCTCTAACTGAGGGAATTGTTTAATTAATTCCATTTTAACTAAATCAAAGTGAGCTTCATCCTTGTCGTACTTCTTTAAAAATTTAATCAACGTGGTGATTGTTTTGTCGGTTATTTTGTATTCTGATTGGTTTTGGACTAATTTTAGGGCTTTGTCGATTTGACCAAGTCTTGCAAGAGCTTCGATGTATGATGTGAAGATGTTAGAGGTGATATTGAATTTGATATCTTTTAAATGTTGCCAAGCGTACTCCAATCTACCTAATTGCTGATGATGACCACAAGTATCTAGAATACTACAGCAGGTAATTTCGTCAATTGGATAATTCATAAAGGTAAGCATATCCCATAATTGTAAAGCTGCTAATGGTCGGTTCAACTTATTATAGGCATCCATTAAACTATTATAAACGGAAACATCAGGGTCGGAGTAGATATCCATATTAATAATGCGATGGTAATACATTACACCTTTAATGTGATTGGCTTTAGCATTTCCTTGAATCATTAGGGAGTAAAGTAGGGCATCAGCACGAATTTCTAAAGCAATCATATCTTCGAAGAGCTTTTGAGCATATGTTAAGTGGCCACCTTTAACGAGGGGTTGGATAAGTTTGGTATATTGCTTAACGTTTTTTATAGGGCGATGAGTTTTTAAGAAGTAATAAATTTCCATAGCTTCATCCTGTCTGGATTGGTTGACGAGGTTAACGAATAGTGTAGTGTAAACGGATGATGGAATAGCGGGATTTGGCTGAGCAATGAGTTGACTTAGTAATTCGATGGATTTATCTACTAAATCGTTCTTAGTATAGAATTGAATCAAGGCGGGGAGTAATCTATAAGATACGGGTCCGTTTAATAAATCTAATTGTTTAACCCAGTTCATTGTTTGATCTACAGAGTTTGTTCTAATATAACCTAAAATCATTTCCTCTGCCAATTTTTGCTTTTGTGATTTATAGATTGCTGAATCAGTTTGTGAAGCGAGTAGTTCTTGAGCATCTTTATACAAAGATTCGGCTAAGTCTACTTGATCGGCCTGGAAGTATGCGCGGATACAGTAACGGTAAAGTTCGGGGTTAAAATCTAATTCACGCTCTAAATATTGCTGGAAGAAGTTAATTGCATCTTCAGAGCGGTTAGATTTAGCCATTCCCTTAATCATATAGTAATAAACTTTATCATCCAAGTCAACTTGAAGTTGATTCATTAATTGGAATAATTTCCATAAACGAGTGGGTTCTTTATCGACAGTGCAGAAGAGTTGGAGACCTAAATGGAATGAAGAGTTTTGCATTGAAATACCGCTTTCTACTAATTCTTCCCATAATTCACTAGCCTTATCGTATTGCTTTTTGCTCAAATAAGCTCCAATAAGAGGTTGGTAAATACTATCATCCAAGGTAATATTTTTCTTAGTTTTAATTTCTTCAAATAAGACACTGGCTTGCTCTAAGTCTCCATATTGAACGCGGTACTTTAAAATACCTGATAATAGTTCATTATCGGGAGTAATATTGGATTTTGATAAATCTTGAATTAGTTCCTCAGCACTGAACTTATCACCTTCTTCAAATAGCGATACAATAGTTAACTTATATAATTGTAAATTCCAAGAAATATTATTTAAACTCAATTGAGCATTGATTAAATCTAAGTTCTCACTTAATAAACCCTTTGAAGCTAACATATTAATATAATCTACTAAAGATGCCAATTCAAGTTTAACTTGAAATAATTCAAAATCTTTTAATACTCTTTGAATTTTGTATTGAGCTTGGTTATCGGTGTTGGCTTTTTTAATTAAAAATGATAAAAATTGATTTAATAAAGAGTGGTCGTAATCATTTAATTTTCCATTTTGAACAACGTCAACGTAATCTGACCAAATGTTATCAACCGATAAGTTTAAGGAATTATCCTTTGAGTTGGCTAAATTATCTAATTGTTTACCAAATGAAGTAGATCCGTTTGAACTATCTGTCGTATAGTGTCTATTTACTTTATAGTTTGAAGTCAAATTTGTTAAATTATTAATTTTGCTTGCGTTTGCGATAGACTTTAGAGGCAAATAAATATTTTGTAAATGATTCGTATTGGATTGGTATAATCTACCAATTTGTAAAATTCTTCTGCTCATTACAAAAATATTCTTATCAGTATATTATATATATTTTAATTTTATGTTATAAAAGCGTATTAATAAGTATAATTATATTTAATAATAAATCTAATAATATGACATTTGTATTTTTTTGTAAATAAGCCTACTGATTTAGGGAATTAATCTATTTAATTGATGAAATAAAATTATGGGAATTTAACAAAAATAATATTTAAAATGAACAGAGAGAGGTTCGAACTCTCGCCTCCGAAGAGACCACGGCCTTAACGTGGCGCCTTAGACCACTCGGCCATCTGTCCATGTCATTTAGAATAAAAATCTTAATAATAATTTAAATTTAATAGTGATACGTTTAATATTTATCATCATTATATTTATTTCTCAACTAATAAATCATGATTCTTTATTATTATTTAATAAACCCCATATCTCTTTCAGCATCTTACCTAAATTAGGTATAATAATTTTCTTTTACATAAATATTAATCTACCCTTTTACTTTTTTTCTTCAAATATTATTTGTTACCTTGTTATTATTACTTTAATAAATATTAAAAATTGGCTATTAAGTAGATTTTCTGCATTTTGATAAACTTTGATATAAGTGTACTAAAACGATTCCTTTGTATTTATACTCTTTCAAGTGCATATTGCGTACTTTAACTTTAAATTGTCTTCAGTTCATTCCTTTTAAGTACACAAATTATCCCAAAGTTACAAATTTGGCAAATTAGAAGTTGTACATGTCCCATAATCATCAAATTCGCTTAATTCATTTAAAAGACCTTGAGCTGAGGTCAAAATTAATTTTAATCAAAATTCAAAGAATAATAGAGTTAAATTTTAATAATATATATAATCTTGATCCAATAAATATGACATATTTAAATAATACAACGTCAGAAGCGCAACACAATAATGGTATAATATTTCTATTCTTTTATTAGAATAGTTTCTAAATTACATATTTATATAGCTCAGTTGAAACTTAATGATTTTAGTAAATATTCTGAAGATATAGTTCATGGAAATATGGTACTAAAGCTATTTAAATTTTTAAACATAGTTTTGTACTAACTCTTTGCGACATATAGGATTTTTACAGAAACTGGGTAAATCAAGTACCATTCAACTATAAATACATACATACTCTCAAGCTAGACGAAAACGACCAAAAAATTAGCAATCCTAATGTATTTTTCTTACCATATTTAGGAGAAGAGGTAAATTTATTTTAACTATATAAAACAAAAGCTAATTCTAGCTCATTTAAAGGTCGATGGCTCAGGTGATACTTTTAATATTCCATTGATGATAAGTAAGAGGGATAAATAATGCTAGTACGTCTCCTAACAACAGTTTTAGATTACAATATTTCAAATGCTGGTTCTGCATGGCAATCGAAAAGTGATTATACTCTTGTTCCCTTTCAAACTATAAACGGCTCAGTTGCAGCTGAATCAATTAATAAGTTCAAGAAAATTGGGCTAAAAGGAATGCAGCGAGATCAAGTAACTTACTTGTGTATACGAAATGCAAAACTATACTAATTTAATTTTCAGCCTTTTTACCATAGGTGCTCTACTTCTCTTGCCGCTGAATGCCGGAACACAGTGTATGCATAGCTATTTTATAAGAATATGACATTTATTTATAATGTAAAATTTAGTATCGATCATGATCAAGCTATGTCTGTTTATTCAAATAACTTAGTACGAGTTTCTAAGATTTCTAGTGATTTTTATCAAACAGAATCCACTCCAGAAATGTAAATATATATTAAAATTTATTTTCAGGTAATTAACTATCTTTGAATTAGATTAAACTGCAGTAATTTTACACCTTCAAAGGCAATTGCTATTAGTGATAACAGAAGAGCTGTTGCAGGTAAAGATAAATTCTATCCACCAATTCTTTTTTTATTCAAAAAATTAACTAGGGCGTGATGGACACCTTGCACTATTCGATAGCTCATCACCAGCAAATGACAACAGTAATATTAAACTATTGTATTTGAATGATTATTTCAATATTAAACGTTTTTTAGCCTATAATCCAATATTGCTTAACAAAATCAGAATTCCCTATGATAATGTAGATTTTAAAAAAGCATTTGAAGTTACAGATCTCAAATTTTCCAAAGTTTCTAAAAATTTACTATATGGTGTTACATCTTCATCTCAGCTCTTTTTGTGGGACAGCAGAGATGCTTCATTAAAAATAGTAAGAGCACGCTCATATATCAAAATTTTACTAAATTTCCAATAGAGTCCTGATATGCACGATGGTCCCATTAACTCAATTGATTCCCATATATTCGACGATAATTACTTACTCACTGGTGGTTCAGATAGAGTTGTAAAGGTGTGGGATAGACGTAAACTCTCATCCAACTACTCGCAATCGGTAGTTTTTTTTGATCAACCATGTATACTTATTTCTAATATAATTCTACTAGTCATATCCCTCAATAATAGTTCAAAAACATCATTCACAAGTTAATCAAGTATCATGGTCTCC